TCCTTCCACTGAGTGAAGTGATGAATTTAATGTTTTTTTATTGCGTAGGTAGTTCGTCTGGATGATTTTAACATGGAGGGGAATTTTTGCATATTTTTAGTTTCTAATTTGCATTTGTTATGGAACTTTTTTGCACATCATTTAAGAAAAATGTTATCATTTATTAAAGTATGGATTTGTTTTGAGAAGCCAAGGGTTGGTTTATGTCTCACTTTTTGGAGAGGGGTGTTTTGACATAATACTATAATAGTCCCTTTACATATAGAGAAGTTTGTGTATAACATAGCTCCTAACTTGCATAAAAATTCTGAAGTTTAATTTTTTTATAGTTAGAAAATATTACATATTATAACTAGAGGAAAATTTTAAAATATTCAACTTAACAAAATATCTTGTAGCTTAAGCTTTATGCCAGATGAGTAGAGCATACGCTATATACTTTCACTTTTCTTAACGTTGCTAACTATATGAGTAATTAATCCTAAATAGCAGAATGTAATTTCAAAGTGTCTCTTGGCCATCAATTGAAGTATGCTCTAATTGCTTTCCTTCTCATAATTTTACTTCAGCTATATAATACTTTTATTTTCATCTTTCTGAGTAGAAATCTTTTAAGCTCTAAAGTTTTTATTCGTCAATAATCATGTTAGGTTTACCAACTGTAGTTAGGAGATCTGGAAAGTTGATATGTTAGACCTGAAGCCACAAGACTTTATAATATAAAGAAAGAATGATATTGCTCGAGCTATTTCTTAATAATAAAGTTCCATAAGCAACATGAAAGGATTACCTAGAATGAATTATTAAGTGTTGCTACATCATCTGTGTTTAACTCAACTTGATCTTCATCAACTGGCCAGATCATAACAAAATCCATTAATCATGCTAGGCTAGGAATAAATTTCTTCTAACGAGGGTTACATTTGGCTGATGCACTGAACAAAGCATCGTCTAAGGTACTTAACAAAGTTGATGAGATCTATCTTACTCATCTTGAATCTTGTCACTTCCAAAGTTAAAACACACAAGCATGACCTCTCACTAAGATGGTTACTTTAAACTTAAAGCAAACTGCATTTGGAATATGAAATTGATGAATCAGTAACGAATGCAGATTTTTTCACTTTGGGCATAATGGATCAATACAGTGCATAAATACTAACAGTCTGAAATCAATTGTTTTCCCCTTTCTGATTAAAAATTAGGAAAAATTGTGTCGAGGCCCCAAAAATTGAAAATCCAAATGACTAGGCCCTTGCATCTTTTTCGCATGTGCAAAAGCCCCAAATACATAGCTCGTGTTTCAGCCCCAATCACATGGCTAACTCAAAAGTGAGTCTCATGCTCCTCCCAAAATACCCCTCATAAAGTCCCATGTCACTATTCCCAAATTTTTTCAAGGCTGTTTGCAAAAAATTTAGGGGGTTATTTGAAAAAATTAAAGGTTATTTACAAAATTTTCAAGGGGTTATTGGCAAAATCTTTAGGAGTTTTTTTACAAAATATTCAAGGGGTTACTTGCAATTTTCAAAACTTCTAGCAGGCCATTTTACTATTTGCAGGGTGTTATTTACAATTTCTAAAACTTTAATGGGGGGTTTTGTAAAATTTTTAAAGATTATTTTGCTATTTTTATACCTTTGTGTGGCAGTTCACAGAATTTTTAGGATTTATTTGTAATTTTTGAAATTTTTAGGGGTTATTTGCAAATTTTTTAGGGGGTTATCTGCAATTTCTAAACTTTCATGGGCTTATTTATAATTTCTAGAACTTTCAGGGTTGTTTACAAATTTTGGGGTTGTTTGCAGCTTGAACCTACAGGGGCTGTTATCAAAAATTTTGAAGGGTTATTTGAAATTTCTCAAACTTTTGTTGGTATTTTGGCAAAATTTTTAAGGAGTTATTCACAATTTCTGAAATTTTTAAGAGACTACATGTAGATTTTTCATATGTTTAACATCTATTTGTTAAAGTTAACATGTAATTTATATAGTTAACATTTGTCTGTTAAAATCATTGTTTTAAATATCCCCAACATGGCCCGATATATCCCCGATATATCCTTTTACAGCGCTGCCACAACTGATATAGTCTCTAAATATCATTTACCACTTTGGCTATTTTGGGCGATATATCCCCGATATAGTCGATATATCAGCTGATATGTTGACCGATACATCCTTTTATATCGCTTGTTGTAATACAATATACTGTGTTTGACAATTTTTGGGCGACACATCATGACTTTTTCATTATATGAAATGAAAATTTGGCCTAAAAATCAGACATGTTGTAACATTGATTTGTATTTTCTTTTACAAGGTTGATTAGTAATCCTAAACATATATTATTTATATTTTATATGCTTAAATTTCATTAAGTATATTGAGATTACATTTTAGTGCGTTATACTATACATGCAAATATCCGTTATTGCATTCCAATATTTACCACATATCCCCGACATTTCCCCGATATCCACAATTTGATATGAATTTTGGCCATCCGATATTTTCCTAATATCCGATATTTAAACCCCTGGTTAAAATTCACTGCTAGCTCATATACTTAACATCTATTCGATAAAATTAACATGTAATTTATAATAGTTAACATCTATTAAAATTCACTACTATCTCATACAGTTAACACCTATTTGTTTAAGTTAACACGTAATCTATATAGTTAAATTTTGTCTATTAAAATTCACTGCTAGCTCATATATTTAATATCTATTTTTAAAACTTAACGCATAATCTATATAGTTAATAGAACTGCAAATAATCCCCTAAAAATTGTGCTAAGAAACCAATAAAAGTCTAAGAAATTGCAAATAACTCTCTAAAATTTTTGCTACCAACCCCTTCAAGTTAAAAACTTTGAAAGTTTTGAAATTGCAAGCAACTCCTGAAAGTTCTAGAAATTGTAAATAACCCCCTAGATTTTTTGCAAACAACCCCCTAAAGTTTCAAAAATTGCAAATAAATCCTAAAAATTTTGCAAACCACCCCAGAAGTATCAAACTTGCAAATAAACTCTTGAAAATTTTGCAAAAAATCCTTGAAGTTTTAGAAATTGCAAATAACCCCCAGCAAATATAGTAAAATGGCCCCATGAAGTTTTGAAAATTGCAAGTAACCCCCTAAAATTTTTGCAAACAAACTCCTAAAGATTTTGCTATTAACCACTTGAAAATTTTGCAAATAACCTTTTAAATTTTTTGCAAATAACCCCCTAACAAATTATGCAAACAGCCCCCAAAATTTTAAAGAGCATGAAACTTTTTTCTCACTTTTGAGTTGGCGATGTGATTGGGGCTGAAACAAAAAACAGTCATGTATTTGGGGCTCTTGCACATGAGAAAAAGACGCAAGGGCCTCACATGGGTTTTCAATTTCTGGGGCCTTGACACAATTTTCACTAAATAGTAGCAAGAAACCTAAGGCCTAGCAGACATCTCTCTGCCCTCCACCTTTTCACAGCAATGATCAGGCCAATCTTTAGACACATTGTTGATAGATTGCCTACAGAATTGCTAAAGGACACAGAAAGGTGGTATATTCAAGGAAGGAAAAAATATATCATGCAGGAAATTTGATTAAATTTTAAACTTTGATCATTAAAATGGTAAGAAACGCATGTCGCACAAGTGGATATGACCTGCAGATTCAGTTGAACTTAACAATTAATAAGTGCAGGCCATTAATTTCAGTGGTCAACTTTCTAGAAAGGCTTATTTTAAAATAAATTTCTAGTATTTCCAAAAAAGGAATTGCAAAAGCCATATTTTTCACAGAATCAAATTTCAGTTAACAGGTGATTCTGGGGACAGTAGTTGTTCTTTGACGTTACTCTAGTAGAAAAGGAAGATACGTGATGGAAATGCAGTGTAACGGTCATGGCTGTCTAACATAGAAGTGATAGAAGGGTAGATGAAAACTAAGATTAATTTATTTGGCTGTTTGGCACCTATAACCCCTCTCCTATTACAGGTGCCATCTTTTATTGGCCTATACATAAGCCTTTCCACCTTTCCCATAAACCTAAGAATAACAACATTTTAATGATGTATGGTCGTAGTTAAAATACCAATTTAGGTTTAGCTCCATTGGGCTTAATACAGTCTGCCTGAGTGTTATTGGCTATCAGAATTTAAATTTCCAGTAGGGAGGCCCTCCCACACTGGGCATAATATAGGACCATCCCTAATTATTAATATAAGGAAAGAAGTAGTGGATTTTAAAAACATCATCAACACAGACCACCAAAAATGCAGCTATACCATTATTTCCATTAATGTTTGAGGAGATCAAACACAAAGGATGAAGGTTGTAGATGTGTGGAATAGATTAATATCTATTATTGATTTTTATAACGTCTTGTAGCTTTGAAGACAACGTTGAGTAGAAAGCTAAAAAGCACACACACAGTGACAAAGTATATTAAAGAGGTGGATATTTGATAATTATAAAGGGAAAACAGTAGGTATCTCATCCACTGTTTCCAAGACCAAAAGAACAAAATAAACTAATAAGAACATACTTGAACTACAAAAATTATTCTCAATGAGACAACCAATGCTTTATCTGTGCAAGTTAGAAATACCTCAAGGGTCCATGGAGGATTGACCGACAAAGACAGCTCTGCTAGCTGATGTAGGTCAACATTTCTGGGAAGGAACATTACAACTTTGGAAGCAATTGTCCTTGCAATGTCAAAAAGATGTTTCCTGTGTACATGAAGCAATGTCAAAGTTAATGACACTAAACTTTAAATTTACATGAAATAGATGAGGAAGAAGCCAAACCCATCATGAGGCTTAAGCATGGTTCTGATATCATAGGATTGCACTTTACTATAGTTTGGTCCTCCCCAAGGAGGTGATAGGAAAATGACGTCACCCTGAAAATATAGGTTAGTTTACAGAATATGAAATTAGATCAGATAAATAAGCTGGTGATGGTACAAGAGAATACACAAAATCAGTAACTCTAATAAAGACAATCCCTTTTTGGATAATTTTGTGAGATGCTATAGGGATAAATTATCCAAAATTACTAGAGACGATGAGATTTAGAGTAGACTAACAATGTTATCTGTCTAGGGAGAAAATAGCGTGGAACCATGTTTCCTTAAAAGACTATGTGCTGGCCTCACACGGCTCACAAGACTGAAGTTCTTTATCAGTAAGATTCACTCAGCTAATGGTGTGCATCCAAGCTTGTAATTGCAAAAGGACCATGAGTGAACAATGGTGTTGTCTGTGCAAAAAACACTTTCTTGGAAGAGTGTTTTGAGAGAGATATAGAAGACAATGGAACTCCATGAAACTTCCCCCTTTGTAAAGAAAAGAGGAGAAGTTTTCAGTGTGTTGTCTTATGGGGTCTGGGATATCTTTACTAGATAGTCCAAATGACTTTAGAAGAACAACTAACACAAGTTACCATGTGCTAACAGAATTAACCACAGTCACAATTAGTTAAAACACTTCTGCTAATAGAACTGCTATAACAGCTAGTTGGACTGAGTTCAGTGTTAAACCCATGTTTGAATAGTGAATTGGAAAAAAGGAGCTGGTTTAGTTTAAAAAGAAGGCAACGCCACTGTGCAGTTCTCACGAGGTTTAAATGTGGCACTCATGTTGTGCCAAGACGATTCAAGCATGAATGAGCGTAGGAACCATTTCAAAGAAAATCAATAAGTTAAAACTCATTGGAGTTTTCAATATTGGAGCATTTAAAACAAATAGGTCATAACCTGATGCACACAAAATTTGAACTCTAGCATGTCCACCTACTGTTGGCTAAGGACGATGTACAATCCTCCTTTTGCACCTCGCCCTCATCTATAAAGGTGTTGGTAAAATGAAAAAGAACATCATTGTAATGTGACCATTCAGTCTAACATACTGCCATATCTTGATGCCATCTAAATGCTGATTTATTTAAATTGTAACTCGTATTATCATTGCAATGTAGACCAACCTATACATATATACATGCACAAATGGGGAAAACATCTCAACAAAAAGAAGAGGAAGCCCATAGGGGCAAACCTCTCTCCTATTTCAGTAGAAGAGGAAGTCGAAGGAAAATGAAAGACATTGGCTATCCACCAATTATACTTTTACCCATTCAGCACTTTTCATTAGTCATTACTACTGGTACATGCGATGATTCACATCTCATTCAGAGCAGCATGGAAAATATATGATCAATCATCATACCATTCTTTGCATAAATTTTTTTATCCATGAGAATCGTCGTACTATTTAGATAGGAGGGAGAGAAAAAATAAAAACCATTTATCTTTCTAGTTACATGATGGTCTATTGTCATTTTATGAATACCAACAAAACTTCCTGTTCTGCAAACTAAGACCACCTCTAAGAAGAGGTAACATTACCTTTAAGCGTGGGGCTATCTGGAAGAAGTCGCCTTGAATGAAATTTATCTTGTCACTAACTCCATAAATAGCTGCATTGTCTTGTGCGCAATCAATCTTTTGTGAATCAATGTCAACTGCAATGACGTAATTGCCCCTAATAAAAAAAAGTAAAAAAGTCAAATTTGAATAATTTATTTCCAAAAGACACCAGAAGCCTTAAAAATCAAAGTTGCCACATAAAACTACAAGCATATTTGTGTATCATAAGGCATAGTAGAAATTGTTCAGGAACATAACTTAACCTTTGAGCTGAATTTGATAAACTTCAACTCCCACATGCCCATACAAGAGAAACATAAAATAAATACTCCCACTGTTGTAAATACACACAGAAATATAATGATTGATAGGCCAAAATATTTTCAAGGGTTAATTGCACTTTACTACCCAAAAATTTCATTGATTTTGGACTTTGATACTCCGAATTTTTTTTCTCCCCCAAAAAAATACCCCAAAGTTGTTAACACGGGGTTTACCCTGTCAACGAAAAGTGAGTAAAATGATGTTAATACCCATTATCATCTTCTTCTCATCATGCTTGACCCATTCCTTAAAAATTTTAACAGAAGCCTGGGTTTACAAAACTCTCTCAAACAACCAATCGTTAATCAATCACAAAATAAATCGTCAAAAAAGATGAAATCTTGTCCAACTACAGTCCACAAAAGGATAGAAAACAAGATGGGTTCAAACTAACCATTTGCAGTTGCTCAAATGTTGCTAGAAAGAGAAACAAAACCCAGTAACAAAATCTCACAAACCCACTTCAAAGTACACTTAAATCCCACTCTCATTACATGCAAAACTCCAAAAGCTCTCTAGAGCAACCAAAAAGTGACAACCACAACAAATTTCCTGTTTCAATGGGTTTAGTGTTAAATAGATGAAGAAGGAAGAAAGGGATTGGAAGAGAATTTATTTACAAGTCCAGGTGTATAGAAGTCCACATAGTATGTTTAAAAAAAAATCAATCCTACAAGTCAAACTTAAGAAGGTTCAACATAGAATATGGAAAATAATTTCAAAGAATATATTTTCCTGTATCCTAGGTTGCATGGGTACGGGCACGGTACTGGTGTGGCTATGGGTACAAGACACGACAAATTTGTAAAAGGTAGGGTACCGGGACACAACTATATATATGCATGTTATATAGATTTATATGTACTAAAATTAATAATTTACATAAGATCAATATTGTTTTTTCATTTAAATATGATCAATGTATAAGAAATAAATGTGAAGTGTAGAATATACGCCCGAATGAATATATGCATATATCCAAGAAGTATCCAAGAGGTTTGGGTACGGGCACGGGTATGAGTGCATGTCGGGTATCATTAAGGCTTCCTACTAGAAGTACCCATAACGTAGGCTACATCAATATAGCTAAGCATCTAAATTTACAATTAAATAGAATAACAAAATCAGAAAGGACCAGTTTGAGAGTACCCACTTCATAGCAAATTGTATTGTGTTCCCACCAACTCCAGTGAAACCATCAATTATAATTCCACTATTGCAACGAGATGCGTGATGCTTTGCAATGGACTCTGGTGTAACAGAAAACCACCCTTCTTCATCCATCTTTATACCATCATCAAAACGGGAAAAAAGCAAGTACCTTTGGCACCAGTACTTAACAATATTGGCAGGGACAAAACCATCCACTTCTTGTAAGGTTAGCCCTGGGAGGAGGGGAAAAAATCAATGTTGTTGCAGAACAGTCAATTTCTGCTACCATTAATGATAACTATAGTTCCCATTAGGAAAGGCATGCAACTCACCCACTTGAACTAAGATTTGAGGGAAATATTCCCTTCTAAGTATAGAACATCGGTATTAGATTCTAAATGGTTCAAGTTTTGCCCATGGAGATTGGATAGACAGTCAAGTAAATCATCACAAATGACAATATCAAAAAAGTAAAATGACGGAGAACTAACTCTGACTTCTATCATAGTTCTCAATAACAACCCCATCGGTAATCTTCAAAAAATGTTGCAGAAAATTAGTACCTAAGACTCTATAAAAACACTATAAATGGGTTGCATGGCTTTCATTAGTAATTCCTCAATACAAACTGCTACCAAATTAGCATATAACTGACAATCTAACTACGACATCAAGGTGTAAGATAACTTAGCCAAATTAGCAGGAAGCTATCTAAAATTTTGGCCAAAATAGGCAGTAATCTTGATTGTTGTTTTGGATATTAAGGTTATACTTTATGTGAAAACTGTCTTATTACTTTGGACTTAGCAACAGGACTGCAAGATAACATAAAATTGGACATTCCATGCTACTCCGGCTCATTTGAAGCAGACAAAGATCATTTTGGCAAAAGACAACTTTTGGCATTCCACTAGGTGCACAGCTAATGCGTAAACAATACTTCACATTTTTGTAGGTTAGAACACTTCATTTCAAAATAAAAGGTGATACTTTAGTATTAGATGCACAAGATAGAGGAATTTGAGATTTTAATGGACACACTTAACGTAGTGCATCGAATTATACATCCCGTAAACCATTTAACTTAATAGAAGTACTTCAAGTTACATGAGATGTCGAATAAGAAGCATACACCTGCATGTAGATATCAAACTATTGAGGCAGCAAACATAAATTTGACATTTTCCACAGTTTCCACATGATTTTAGTTTACTAATAACAGTTATTTCTCCTAGTATTTATGATCACTGCATATATCGTGTTAGATATTCCAGTGTACATAAAACTGAGTATGATTCATCCATTATGAAGCAAGGGATGTGACGTAGCGGTGTAAATACGAAACGTGTAAAATGTCTATGCAGTTGCAAATTGTATTATGTGCTCATACAAGTGGCATATATTAAGAGCATGTTTGGCAAGTTACTTTATTTAACTTACAGGTATGTTTTTACTTATAAGGATTCAAAATTATGTTCAGTAAACCTTACTTATTTACTTATTTCTTACTTGTAAGTAGGAAAAAAATAAGTTGGGATTTCCCAACTTATTTTTTGGGCACTTGTAAGTAAGTTTACTTATTCATGTTAAAAGACTATTTTACCCTCTAACAAAATAAGTAAGTAATGAGTAACTTATAAGGCTTCATAAAATAAGTATTAGCCAAACACGCTCTAAAATGCAATAGGAGAGACTCTACCTTCCTAATTAAGATGCATATATTAAGGTTCCACAAGTCCAGACTTTGTTACGTAGTTAGGGAATAGGTACACGCTGATCTCCCTATGTCCTCGTACAAGTGACATTTATTAAGATGCAAGTATCTACGGGTAAAACTTCCTAAGCCAGATACAATACACTAATGTTATGCATTAACTTTCATATTAGTTTGGCTATTTAGGTATATATAAACACCTCATCTCTTTCATTTTTAAAACATTCCCTACAAATTGCCATATTCAGGAACTAACCCTCTAAATCAAATCATAGGAAGACCAAAAAAAAAAAAAAAAACAAAAAACAAAAAACACCACACAACAAAAAAACCAATTATTGTGTTTGATTTATGGCTTTTATGAGATGTATTTTTTTAATTATGAAGATTTGACGCATATAGATCTAAAAAAAATTAAAAATACAATGGCAGTAAACAAAGAAAAGAATGTTTTCCTCTTATTCTCAAATAATAACAAAGATCAAAGTTTACAGAAGCCTTATGATTTGGAGGCTTTATTTAAATATGAAGATTTGGAGTATTTTTCCAAACATAAAAAGTTTGGCCATATATTTAAAAAGCTTTAGTTACTTTGATCTCATTCTTACTTGTTAGTTGAGTATCCTAGCTTGTGGAATTGCCCAATACTATTAGACCAATGTTTAGAAAAACGATAACGCATAATGCAACGCTCTACCTCCGGTTAAGGTTAAATGCAAAAAATGCAAAAAATACAAAATAATTTAAAGCATAACATAGGTTACATGTTTCATATTGATTTAAATATTTAATAAATAATAATATTCACAATGATTTAATAAATAGAATCATATCGGTTTTTAGATAAAACATCACAATTATCAAATATATCACCACAATTTATCAACAAAATACATCATAAATGCTTAATAACCGGTCCAAAAGCACATGCACATCAACTTTAAAACAAAAAAAATAAAAATAAAAAACACTCTCAAGTCATAAATAATGATAAAAAATACGATAATGTATAACTTAAGCTAATGACTCTCGATAGCTTAAAGCACACTGCATAACATAGCTTATCTTTTGTTCTAATTGTTTAATTTAAAAATATAGAAGATTTTTATAATAATTTTACGAATTAGGAACAAACTTTCAAAATACAAAATGTATTTTAATAAAAGTTCTTCAATTTAATACAAGCTATACAGATTTCTAGCAGGTATTAAATGGAATATCCAATTATATAATCACACATTTTCATCTTGTTCATAATTTCATATTTATTTTATAACTTTTACATGAAAACCACCTTAACTTTTACTCAAATTGATACTCACCGTCTTTACTTTTTTTATTGAAACCACCTAAACTTGCTTACATGTTTTTAAAGTCACACATTTTCCACTATCCAGCTAAAAAATACCTGATTTGCCCATTTTACCCTCAACCATTTTCTCTCCTCTCCACCTTCTCCCTTCCCACTCCTCCATCATTTTACCCTCCACCTTTCCATTTTACCCTCAACCATTTTCTCTTCTCTCCTTCACCTCCTTTTCCACCAAACTCTCCCTCTTCTCCTCTCCCTCCCCTTCATCTTTTGACTCCTCATCACTCATCCTCCCCCACTCCCCACACCAAAAACCCCCATGTTTGCAAAGTCACACATTTTTCACTATTCAGCTAAAAAAGACCCGATTTGCCCATTTACCATTTTCTCTTCTCTCCACCTTCTCCCTTCCCACTCCTCTCCCCCTCCTCGTCATCCTCCACCTCCTCCATTACCTTCCCTTTTTTCCTCCACCAAACTCTCCCTCTTGTTCTCCTCTCCCTTCCCTCCCTCATTTGACTCCTCAGCCCTCATCCTCTTCCCCCACCCCCACCCTCCCCTCCACCTTCTCCACTACCTTTCCCCTCTTCCTCCACCAAAATCTCCCTCTTCTTCTCTACCTCCCCTCCCTCCCTTACCTCCTCAGCCCTCCTCCCCACCTTCAAACTCTCCCTCTCCTTTTCCCCTCCATTGTCCACCTCATCCTCTCCTTCTTCCTCTGCCAATTCGACGAATTGTCCTAAAGAAACTTACCCCTCAACTGCCTTGAGTTCATTAGGGCGGTGATTATGAGGAGAGAGGTGAAGGGGAGCAAGAAGATGTATGAGGTAAGATGTAGGAGGTAAGGTGAGAGGGGTATAATGGAGGAAGAGGAGAAGAGGGGTTGAGAGAGGAGAAGAGTGATGAGGGTATTTGTGGAATTCTACAAAAAATATGAATAGAAATCATCAGGATGTGTGACATTGCAAACATGTAAGCAAGTTTATGTGGTTCCTATAAAAAAGGTAAAGGTGGTAAGTATTAATTTGGGTAAAAGTTAATACGGTTTTTATGTAAAAAAACCCTTTTATTTTATTAGTCACACTCGTACTTTCACAATCACATAATAATATCACCAAAATAAGCCATGAAGGCTTAACAAACAGTTCAAAAGTAATTACATAATTACTTCAAGTTTTAAGAAAGGAAATACTTTGGAAAAACATAAGTTATATTGAAATAATGCATGTCATAGTCAAATAACGCATGTTGTATGGTAACTAACATAGAGTTATGACATGTATATGGCATGTCCAAGTTATTTCCAAGGTTGCTGATAGCGGATCGCGTCGCGTCGCGACGAGGTACTGCTAAGGCTATATCGGGCTATTGCGGCGAAATCGCGGCAAATAGCGCACAGTCAAATAGCGGTCAAATTTAAATATATTTAAATATCCTAAATAATAAGAAAATTCATAAAAAACATCTAAAATTTCAATTAGTTGTAAATTTCTTGTATTATCAGTAAATAACAATTAGTAGGCTTGTTGTATGAATGAAACTATGAAGAAAGTCAAAAAATATAGCATCATAATATGTGTGATAGCGGGTTTAGCCGCTTTTAACCGCGAAAATCCGCTTTAAACCGCGAAAATCCGCTTTTAACCGTGAAAACCAGCTTTTAACCCGCTAAAATCCGCTTTTACGCGCTATTCGAATGAATAGCGGATTTCCCGCTTAAGCCAGCCGCGAAACCCCTACGCGTAGCGCTGAAGGGCCGCGACCGCTATTCGCGCCACTATAGCCCCGCTATTGGCCGCTATTTACAACACTGGTTATTTCAGAAGGTTATGTAAAGTTCTTCAAGGTATGGTAGGTTCATAACAGAAAATAGCAAGTATGTGATGGGTTTTTTTTAATAATGTGTCAGACAAGTTGAAATCTGTAGCATTTCCTCCTCATTGTCATATATTCTAATAAAATTGCCACCCCATTCATTTGTATGTTGTACTTTGTCTTTTTTAACATTCTTCATTTCTTTCATAACCTTTATCAGTTTTCCATATACTTCTATTTTTTTCTGCATTCACATTATGTAGTATTGGCTGAATTGCCTCCATGATTGACATATCTTTAATTAAACACCAAAAGCATAGTTGAAATCAAATTGGTGTTTAACGTTATACTCTTAACATGTGAAAAGACCCTTTCCATGGCTTAGAAGCTGGACTAATTTATCCAGTGATACCTTTTCTGTAGATCCACTTTATCCTCGATTGATGGGATTTGAAAATGCGTTGCTCTAATACCATTGTAAAGTCTCTTCCACTTCAACAAAACTTGAACTTGCAATGACGGTCGACAGTTATAATTTTATACACTAACAAATAGAAAGATGGTGTTGAGACAGAATGTTGGGTTTCTATTTTAGCTTTTTCTTTTCTATTAAATTATTTCTTTAACTTCATAGCCTTGCCTAATTTGAAAATGGATATATTTAGCCTTAAATTTGTGAAGAAGTACTCAATACACGTTAGCAGGCAGATCAATCATATAGATTGCTTGGTAAATTTTTTACAAAAAAGTTTAGATGCCGTATATACCTATGTTAGGGGTCAGATTTTATGTATTGCTTTCAAGAGTAGTTCAGGTATCAAATTATCCTTAGTGAAAAAAGACCATTAGAATATTTATCTGTACAAGAAATGATAAGTTTAAACACATTCCTATATAAGAAGCAAGATATATTAAGCTATCTTACAGAAAGTAGAACAGAAAAAAAAACCATTCCTTCTGTAATGACATAAAAAATATATAAGAGTTTAGCACATATAAATGGTTGTATCTTATTATATTGTTAGAAACATTAATTTTGAACTTCAGATTCGTGACATCTCTATATAAGTATGTATTCATATACACTCTCTGGTTATAATATATACAACTGTCATGTCATTGTGTCCTGGTGCTACTGTTTCCAGAGTTGCTAATCCATAAGTGTGCTTTTTAGAAGGGTGTTATGCTAGTGAAAATGAATAACTACTTCAGGGTTGGAAATACTGATACAAGAGATGAATACATCCATAACTAAAATAATTAGTTATGCCACTTGAACTGAATGCATCAACTTCAGTTGAACAGAGTGCACCACCGAAGACATGGGTTGACTTAACGACTTTTGAGTAAGTGTATGCATACTTTTGTTGTTAATCAAGTCTTCTCAGCCATGAAATGATTAATTCTGCATAATCTAATGAATACTATGTCATAAATCATCAGAATCTTCTCTTTATGGTTGTTGAGATTTTCTTGAGTATAGGACTCATATAATAAGTAAAAAAGACTTGAACAGCAGTAGAGAAACGAAGGTGGAGTAAAAAAGGAAAGCCAAGATAAACGAATAAAATAATAAGACAGGGAGAAAAGTGAAAAGAAAATAGGAGAATGAAAAAGGGAAAGCGAAAAGACAGGTTCAACTTCACATACAGTGGACAAATGTTCTAGATTGGAGAACATTAGCAGAAAGCTATAAACATGACCGCTAGTAAGTGTGTTCTCCTTTTAGTATTACAAAAATGTGTGCAAGTGGAATGTGTAAGCAACAAAGGATTTTACATGACACACGATAAATTTGCTTATCAACATGTAGTAGTTGATGTTCCAGGTTTTTACATGAGTATTTATACGGCATGAACACAGCCCATTACATGACTTATGTCAGTTTATTTAAGCTATATTTGTGTCCAATGTATGTGAAAAAAATAAGTAAACTATGAAGCACAAAACCACGATTCATTACCCTATCAAAAACCCAAGCAACCATTGCCCACCTTCTAAGTGTTCATGTTCACATCTTCTAAGAGTTCGTTCACCTTTGACTATAATTAATAGCTGTCCTTCATACTAAGTAAGAAGGGAAAAAATGCACAAAGATAAAGTAAATAAAAGCATACAAGACCTTATGAACCAGTATTCATAGAAAATAGTATTTTCTTACGTGACTGGAGCTTCCGTTCTCTCTTCTTCTTCTTCTTCTTCTTCTTCTTTCCACATACTTCGTGATAACCATCCAACTCATACATCGAAGTCAAGCCTATGCTTGGAAAATCACCCCCATTTTCACCATTAGCTCCTTCATTTTCTGTGTCAACCCAACTGCCACGACAGCAGATGTTAAAGAGAAATCATCAGATCCAAATCAAAGGGGGAAAAAAAGAAAAACACAAAAATTTGTACCTGTTGCCTACAGTAAGTTCAAATGCCATATCCAGCACACTGCACGTCTCCGAATTCATACAGTTCTCTTGTTTCTCCTGGTATTCATCAACATCAAGTTCATCTGTTTCATAATTTACACTATCATCATTAGTGTGTTATTTCTCGATGTATGTGGAAAAAAAATGCCGAGAATGAACATTACTAGAAAAGGATTTGTTCAAGCAAGTGAAAAAAAACACGCATGTCTATCATTGTACTTATAAAGTTAAGTATAGAATAAAGCAAGCAAAAAGTTTGAGTATGACCTGTTGAATGATTTGGAGGTGTATGAAGCAAAACATGCTTATCAGCAGTTTCCTTGACAATTTCATGTCCATCTGAACATGCAGTAATATCACCATTCATCCTGCATGAGATTATTTCTGCAGATAAATAATGTAAATATTTAGATCTTCTTTTATTGGAACAAACTAGTTCTGTCATGTGAGCTATGCAAATATATATCTTGAAGGGCATCATGGGCAAAACTCAGTACCAGGATGCTCTTCAGCCTCATCACTGGACAGGTCACTTGAATTAGGTATATTGGAGCACAGTGCAAAATGTTCCAAGCCTGGAGGAGGATACCAGGTAGACTCCTGTGATTGAAAATTGTAGAAGTAATTCCTCTTGTAGAAAGAATCCCAAATGACTCTCCAGTCACCAAATTCATAGCATGGAAAGTTGTCAGGACACTCTGCAAAATGATGACCAGCTGATGCACCAGAGCAAGATGACTCTATTGTAGTAGGACATGAATTCAAATTTTTATTGTCATCATGTGTGTCTCCAATAATACAACATGATGTAGCCGGACATTCCACATAGTTGTCAAGAACATTTTTCTGAAACAATTCCTCTTTGTGAGCTCCTGATTTGACATATTCATGATCATTCCCATGGAAGTTTTCAGGGCCTGAACTTAACTCCAAAACTTCAGTACTCGTTTCCATTTCTATATCAAAGCATGACAACTCATGTTGGATACAGCTTCTCATAATCACAGGAGTCTCATCATCACCAACTTGTTTCTCAATGATGTCAGAAAGTATACTAGCAGTTGTGTTTACTGATTCTCTATCCACAGAACCTCTACATCGATCTCTGTAATCATCATGATAGGTGTCTCCAGTGGTTGCTTCTGTGGCCTTAACAATATCACAAAAAGGTATGTTTGTGCTATCATGCAGAACTCTTGATGATGAATTATCCTCCGATAGGCAACTTCGTGTCGCAACAAGGACTCTATATTCTATATCTTTATTGGTGGACACAGATTTCTCCTGTATTCCCTTCCTTTTTGTAGTTTTGGCAGCTACATTATTTTTCTGATATCAGGCAAAAGGTTATGCCATAAGTACTTAAATAAAGAAAACATGCAAATTAAATATCAGAAACTTTTACAAGAAACTCTAAATATTATGTGGAGACTTGAGAAGTTGTATGGTTATCTATCTGCAGCTACTACTTGCCTTCTTACTAGTGCTGAAAGAAATGGGGAGCCCCAGAGCATCCATCTGCTTTGCTAACCCAAAATCTTCCACAGATGTATAATCTGTGAAGCTCATGACACAAGAGCCATTAAAACTGGAGTCTTCTGGTAAAACAATATTTGAAATACAATCTTCTTACAGTAAGTAACAACGAAAGTATAATTAGTTGATGATAGGAATGGATTAGTAGCAGAAACATGACTTTTTTTAGATCAAACAAGGTTAACGTACTGCTAGACTAGAGCGCCAAACAATAGGGCCCTTTTGTTAAATTAGCAACATGTTGAATTGTTAAAAGTAAATAACAAATAGGGGGGAAATCCATGATGACTAATTTCTGACAAATTCTTTTCATATTAAGTACATGTGCAAATGCTTGTGCACTTAATTAACTAAAACATGTTATGCATATAGAATTTTTCTCTTTGCCAAAGTAATTTCAGTATAGTAAAGTCTTTTGAATGATCAATCTAACTTGGAGAAATAAATAAATAAAATTTAGACAAGCAATTTTAGGGTTTCTCATTAACTGTTGTTTATGTGAAGCAAAAATCCTAATAATATCAAGAGGGTTAAGGATTAATATATTTGATCCAAGTTAACAGTTCAGTTTTCATTATGAACTATGGATGAAAAGCTGTATAATTAAAAGGATGCACAAAATAAAGAGGGCAACCTCATTTGATATGGTAACTATAAGGGATTATACCATATACAGTAAAGGGATTGATCCAATCTATCACTCTGATCTGTTAACAATTGATTTTTTTTATTTCCCCCATAACTACATTAAATCAATTTTTTTATGCTTGACACGATCATCAACGAATATTGACAATGTCAGTCAGTTTCAGTAAGTTTCGGCTGACAATGTCAGTCAGTTTCAGTAAGTTTCGGCTGGAAGGGATCCATATGCTCCAAATCTGATACGATACAGCTAACATGCAACAGTGCCTAACTAATCTTTAAGACCTTGTTTGATTCTTTGTGCTGGGAGGAAAAACCTACGATTTTAATGTTACTGCAGTTTTTCTTTTGGTCACTAAATTGAGCTTGATGCTCGAACCATAACACAACTTATTTATCAGTTAAATCCAGCTGACCCCATTGTGACCTGTACTCTGTTGGTCATATGTGATAGCTGCTTTCAAGTTCGGTTGTGTTTGCGAGTAGGATCAACATTTTTTTTCCTTTTCCTTTTTCCTTCTTTTTTTTGGGTAAGAAAAAAGAAGGGCCCCTCCCGGGAATTAGATAATATATAAAAGAAAATATAAAAAATAGGGCCTCCCCAAGGGTAGTAAAACTCTTACATACCCAAGGTAGCAATGCCAGCACAAGGACAAGGCCCCTTAGCCGACAACAACAAAAAGACATAATACCAAACTAGCATATCCACGAAAACACTAATGAGAGCTCCTAACAAAAGTTTGCCTCTTAGGATGAACATTGCCACCCTAGCATGCATATCACGAGTAGGATCAACATTAATGAGTAGGGTCAACATTGCTATCCTAGCATATGTATCACGAGTAGGATCAACATTAATGAGTAGGGTCAACATTGCTATCCTAGCATATGTATCACGAGTTTACGCATACATGTTCAAGGTTACTTCAGCGTCAAGACTTATGGAAATAAAACAAGGAACTATATTGTAAAATATAAGTTACTTTTCATTTGTGTAATACAACGTGTATTTACTTTCCTTCTTAGAATGCCAGCTAAGAAATAAACATGAACAGACCATGTTGATTCCTACAAGTTTTATGCCAAACAGAGGTTCCAAGAAGACAAGATATCCTGAATGAGTAGATTAGAAAGATTTAGCGTATCTATGTACATCTTTGTACTATAAGGTTCCAAAGAGCATCAAGAGATGCCTTACTTCCTCTTTCCAAATTCCAACTAGTCTAGCATGGACTTTTTAATGAGTCCACCATTAGTATCTGAAGCAGAAGCTAGTACGTTAAGGATTCAAAGTCAACATAAACTACATCATCTCCATATGACTGGGGGAGTAAGGCTTTCTCTTGCAAGAAACTAGTGAAACTGCTAGAAACCAAGAAAGTAAGTTTTCTCTGATTCCTCACAAATTGTTCAAAGCCATCTTTTTGTGGTTTCAAAAAGTTGTTTGGCTTAAAGACACTAAAGACTGGAAACCATGGCTTTTAACCCATGTGGAAATAATCCAATATAATAAATGTGCAGTGGGTTTGTAGTCTTTAACAACTTGGATTTATGCCTTTTCTTCTAGAATTCAAAATAGACACTTATCCTATGTTACATGTGGAGGCCCGCCATTTTGGAAACTAACAGAATGTGAACTTCCAGAAACAAAAACTGAAAGGAAACTCAACTCTGATTAATTTTCATGTTTCTAGTTGGTCCATTAACCCAAGAAATCCTTACCTTATGGCTCATAAATCAATAGGTTCATGCTCAAAGCCAAGTTTACGATCTTTTTATGCTAGAAAACAGATACATGACTGTAAGAAATGACATAAGGCTATGCTGGAGAACAGATACATGAGTGCGAGACATGGCATAAGGGACAGAACGTATTACTCCATTGTGACATGTATTTCACCAAGTATTGTTGAACAAGCATTGTAGTACAAAAAAATGACTTTTGTGTGCCAACACTGACTCGTAAGCAAATAGTTCTGGTCAAGGTCCCAACCAATTCTTTGATGCCAAAACATGAAAGAGGAAACACTTGAGCATTAGCAATCGAGATATACATGAGTGAGGGAGAGGAGAAAAAATACTCGGGCAAAATTTTGGGTGTATCTTCATTCACCAAGAACGCATTCAATTGTTATCGAGAAAGTCAAAAGATCTGTCAGAACTATAGTAAGTCTTTGTCAAGCTTTTACTAGTGCTCTCCCCTGCTACCTACCTTATCAAAGTTTGTTTGTATGTCAATGTGATAGTTCTTCACTTCTGCTAATGCAACTGCAAGTAAGTCTCGTGTACAACAATTTGCATACTTTGTTTGTGATTAAGAGGATAAAAGACATTATTCACTGTGATCATCTTCTTACTGTGCATCATGATCAGAGTACGATATTTGATGCTTTTGTGCCAAGAAAATACTTGGGTGTGCACATATGGTCTTGTTGATGTCCTAAATAACTTCATGCCAACACTATCCAACATAAAAGAAGAAACGCCAGAATTCAAGCTGCAAAGATTAAATTAAGAAACATGACCTTACGTGGATTGTATTTCCATTATCAATGAATGCATCGATTGCCATTGAGAAAGTCTTAAGGTTCTAATAAAATGAGAATAAGTATTTATAAGGTTTTGGTTACAGTCCTCCATTATTTTGTTAGGTTCCGTTAAAAAGAGAACAAAGAACTATATACTGAAACCAGGTTTTTGCATATTCCTCCCTGCTGCTAATGCAACTGCAAGAAAGGTTGATGCACAATGGTTGATAATATTTGTGTTGGCTTCATCAAGACTTGGTTCCAGAACATATGATTCAATGTCTTCCCTGGTAATGAGCAAGGTACAGAGTTATTTCATCATGCTTATCATGCCACAACCATTTCAATAAAGTTATATAATCTTCTACCAGCCTCAGAAATTTTAACTCTATAAGAACATTATGCTAAGAAAAAGAACATTTATATTACTGTTCATGACTGAAATCAACTGATTATATTTGGGTCACATAACAAACATCAGACTGAAATCCGCTTTTTAAGCATATGTAAATTAAGGATAGAGGAAGGAGAAAACAAAAACATCAAGATTGGTATACTTGCTATATAGACATGTTGTATACCGATAATTGCAACAACTTGGATAGCACAAGCATTAGATAGCACATTTATGCAAATTATGACAAAATAACGCAAAAGAGTTCATATATTTCACTTCTTTTTATTTATAAAAAAATTAAGGGCAACAGAGCTTCACATATATTTATTTTTCAAGAGAACAATGACATCATGGTTCAGAAAACCAATTAGGCAAAGAACATAAGATCAAAGAACAACAGGCTTACCATCTGTGTGGTTAATGCCTGAATTGGTATCAGCAGTGGCACAGGAAATCTGCATGATTTTGAAACACAATTTTACTAGGATTATTAGCACAACAAACAAAAACTGATCAAATAACTTTTTGAGGAAATAACTAAATAAAACTGAAGTTGAATAGACATTTTTATGTTGCCAGTGTCTGATGGCTGCATCCAAAGAGATCTTATGTTTATAGAAAAGAAAAGAATCAAACTAAATTTAGACAAGGAAGTATCAGCAATCACTCTTAGGCATTAATAGAACTCTGCTGATATCCGATTTATACAATGATAATTAGCTGGTATATATGACCCGTTTTTGAAGACTGAATAAGTCAACATCTCATCACCCTATTCATTGACATGACACATTTGAAAAACAAATAAGACTGTAATCTCATGATTCTCATCCTACAGCTGAATATAAACGCAGGAGTAGATTTTAAGGAAGAAAAACACAAGAATCTGACACGGTCCTTCCATCTCGTACTTTAAGGTTTTTAAGCCAACTAAGAAAATCCAATAAAAGATGATATCAACTTGATTCTCACTCCAGTTTACTGACAGATTGGATCATACAAAGGATTTACCTAGTCAACTAGGCCAGTGAGTAGTCTAGAATATGCAGGAATCAAATTCTCTGCACAGCAAGATCTACAACTCATTCATGAAAGTGGAAGATGACATCTGATCCATGTAAAACCATTATAGGGTTTGGTCGGATGATATGCCTTCCTTACAAAGGTTTGGTTCTTCTCTTTCATTCATAAAGGCATATAGAGGTCTTTCATCTGAAGGAGAACCTGCAGTTCCAGCGTTAGGTTTCTTAACATGCTTGTCTCTGAATTTTCACTTTGCTAATTAGTCTGAATTCTGCTTCCCTCTTTGTTCTATACTTTTACTAGATTAATTCTTTAATTTCATCTTGTATGTCTGTCCTAGGCTCCTAGCTTATTCAATAAGCTCTTTACAAACAATTGCTGCAGTTTTCAGGCCAGGAAACAGCAGTTGTACTTTTCACCTAGAATAATCAGTTTGATAGCACTAAAAAGTGAGGAGTATTCCTCGAGCTGAAGTTCTTAGTCATTCTCCTTTTCATTTTATGTGCATGAAACAATAGGTATGTAAGTGCCAGCTTATTTTGCTAAGTAACTACCAAGAGATTGGCTAGTAGTAAGGCCTACCTTGCTACTTTTATGGGAGTAGGTGGATCTCACAAATCCTGTATCTTGATAACTCGTTTTGTAAAGTGAGGCAGCAGCTCATATCCAGATTTTGGTGTTAAATTTATTTCTTCTATGCTTGTTTCATTTTGTATTTACTTTTCAGCTTCAAATGCCTCTCTAGTTGAGGAAAATTCCTAAGAAACGTATAGATTGTCTATTGCTTTAGCAGTTGAAGCTGATGGTCTCTATGCCTTTCCCTTTTTTTCAACCATGTAATAACACCTGTGAATAATCTAATTATTCGTCCATGAAAACTTGGAATTACAAGTGAAGTTTTCACTATCATTACCTTTCAACTGATACTGAATGAAATATTCATCAATGAGAAATCAAATAGAATATATAATTGCCTAGCCTGTTTACTAACTCTCACACAGATACATGTATGCATTCCAACTTTATTTTTCTTGACTAAGAACTTACACTAGACCTACATCATGATGCAATTTGAACAGTTCAGCCTCAAGTAACTCTAAACTGTGTTATTTATCTCCGAAATCTGAATCTTAGGATATGTTTGGCAATTCACTGAAAATGGGCCAAGGTTGGCCCTAGACCTGGTTCTAAATAAAACCAGCCTGTTCCGCAACTAAACCTGCTTAAACCCCCAAAATTGAGCTACAACAAACAAGCTCATTGTTGACCCAGTTTTTACCAATCAAAGAAATGCTCTATAACTGGACCAGGTTTAAACATGGCCCAGTTTTAAGAAGTTGCCAAACTAACACTAAGCTTCCAATCCCATCTATGTGACTATGTCTATTTAAGGAAAACACATATGATTAACTGATAAGATTACATCAGTTATAGAAATATGCAACTTGTCTGTCGAAATTTTGAATATGCGTCAAACTGCACAAATGGAAGCGTCTGAAGAAGGCATTGAGGTTATTTGAGTGCTTCAGAAATAACACTACCACAAAGAAGCATACAATATGTGATGTGATTGGATCACATAAATTTGGCTAAAACTCAAGGTAAGAGGTTTACAATGCATAGTTATAGGGAACGTGCAGGATGACATTAGACATGGGTTTAGGTGGGATTGCAGAGACAGAAGTTTTTTTGTGGCCTTAATCTATCATAAAGGCTATGAAACTTAACTAGGGGTTTGCTTCAAGTGAATAAATTACTCAAATTTTCTCTTGGTGAGTAAGAAAGAAAGAAATGGAAAAAGAATGAGAGAAAAGGAACAAGCAAAGAAAGAATATGTTAAATTATTAGGGGTTTGATTCACTCCGTACTGCTGATATAGTGTTATTTATCCTTATATTATTAAAATTTGGGTTAATTACAGAAAACCCCTAAGAACTTTTGGGGAGTTGCAGTAAACCCCCATCAACTTTTTTTATTAGACTAAACCCCCCTGAACTTTAGGAGTTCTTGCACAAACCCACATGAACTATTTTATTTCACTAAATCTTACCTAAAAATTTATTATTTAATCCTCATATTAGCACCATCAACTTTAACATGTAGCTGCTAAGCAAAAGACGAAAAATGACGAAAAATTCCTTCTTAGTCCCAACAAAACCCTTTTATTAAAAAAGAAAAATAGGCAATTTTTTTAGTCTAAGAAATTATTTTCATCTTTTTTTGGCACACACTTGCCACATGAGATGTTAGAATCGATGGTGCTGATTTGAAGATTAAATAAAAAAAAATTCATGTGAATTTTAGTGAAATTAAACAATTCATGGTGGTTATGTGCAACAACTCCTAAAGTTCAGGGAGTTTAATGTAATAAAAAAAGTTCATGGGGGTTTTCTATAATTAACCCTTAAATTTTTATAATCAATTTCCTTAACAAGCCGTTTGAAAAATGCTTCACTTGAACACAATATGCAAGTTAAAAACTGACAGTAGTGCAGCAGCTGCAGCTTTAGACAGCTCGGGCAACAGGGCAAAGATGAATAACTTTTGTCAGCGTTCCAATTATTAAATAGTATAGAAGAAAAAATGGGGTAAAAGAGTAAAATGAATCCTGAACAATTAGAAATTGCAATGGTGTTGAATCAAGCAGCATATTGTTCATGGTTGGTTATTTAGCTCATAGAACTTAGGGCGGAAGTGAAAGGATGCTATAAAACTTAAAATTTCACATTTTGAACAATTATCGGTGATTTCTGATAGCCCTTATGGAGATAGAAATTATACATCCTCTAAGGTGAGCATCTCCAAGAGTGATCTTAGGTTTTTCCTATTTTTGAGGAGCAAATCTCTTATCCTAGAAAATAAGAAGCTAAATAAGGAGTAATAAGTGCTCCAACAATGCTCTCCAAATGGCTCCCTATCTCATGTACTAGACTAAATATAGGTAGTAGGAGGGGGGAAAAGTTGCTCCAACAATGCTCCCTATGTTAAAACTAAATATAGGGAGTCACTTTGTTATCCTTGATTTGGAATACAAAATCTTAGAGCATCTCCAACAGCCTTCCTATCCCATGTCCTAAACTAAATATAAGGAGTAGGAGGGGGGGAAATTACTCCAACAGGTTCCATATGTTGGAGACTAAATATAGGGAATAAGATTTGGTATTCCAAATCAAGGATAACAAAGTGACTCCCTATATTTAGTCTCAACATAGGGAGCATTGTGGGAGAAACTTTTTACCACTCCTACTCCCTATATTTAGTCTAGGACATGAGATAGAGATCAATTTGGAGAGCATTGTTGGAGCACTTACTCATTATTTGGCTCCATATTTCCTAGGATGAGAGATTTACTCCTCAAATATAGGAAAAACCTAAGATCACTCTTGGAGATGCTCTTATTCCCTATATTTAGTCTCCAACATAGGAAGCCTGTTGGATAACCTTTTCCCCCTCCTACTCCCTATATTTAGTCTAGGACATGAGATAGGAAGGCTGTTGGAGATGCTCTAAAAATTCAATTTTTATGATATCAGATCCAAAACAAGAAATAGGGAAGTGACAATCTTCATTTGAAGCTCAAGATCTCATAACTAGGAAATGACTATTTACTTGAAAGGAATACAACACCAAACTTTTAAAAAATAAAATATAGAACTAAATAGACATTTAGGAAAATATTATGATTTGAGGTAAATTACAAAATTGAAATTTCACATGTATTAACAAAACTTACAGCAGGTTCTTCTTCAATCACATTATGAAGGTGAACAGAAGCATCGGGTATGGTACCCATTCCATCATCCCTGTTTCAATGATAACAGCTTAAGTAAAGTACAAAACCAATAAATAAATAAATAATTTGAGAAGAAAAAGTGAAGCTAGGGTTTTAGAACGAAAGCTCACCATAAGAAGACCTCGGTGATCTTGAAGAGAGAGCCAAGGGCTTCGATGGTGGCCGATTCCGCTACCGACTCGGTACTGGCCATCGACGTCGCTGCGCCGCCGATTCCGCTACCGACTCGGTACTGGCCATCGACGTCGCTGCGCCGGTTTTGACGGGAGGAAGGGGGAGAGTCGTGTGAAAACTAGGTTCGGCTTCAGTGTGCAGTGGGGAGCAGGGAGGGTACCCCACCCATTGGCCCACCCGGGTTTGTGCTTGGTTCCTTGAGAAACAGCAATAATTTACAAAAGAAAAATAATTATAAATATTTTACCGGACAAATTTTTAAAATAGACCTATTTTAATATTTATTTACAAAAATAAACCTATTTTAATTTTATTTATAAAAATAGACCATTGACGAATCTGCATTGATTTTAAAATATATATATAGTTTATTAATAAGCCAGGGTCGGCAACCCCGCTTAATCATTGAAGGTAATTAAGTCCTTGGTTCACGGATCACATCTATTTTTGAACTAAATTCTGAATAGCCATGATTGCCAAACAATGACATTCTAAACTTTGATATTCTAATTAAGCGGGTTTGGCAAGCCCGTCTAATTAGTAAAGTTTATGTTTTTTTAATTGACTTGGTTTCACCCAACAATGCTGAAGTGGTTAAAACAGGGTCTATTTTTGTAAATAAAATTGAAGTGAGTTTTTTTGCGAATAAATATCAAAATAGGTCTATTTCAAAACTTTCTCCATACTTTTACATTACTAAATCACTTAATTGATATTTTTTGTAACACCCATTTACTAGTTTGTTCCTTTTTTTTCTCTGACGATTTTTTTTGTATAAAGGTCCACCAAATGTGCAATTAGACATTTTTCTCCACCGCTGCAGGTAAAATACATGTGATCCCATATAACTAAATTTGATAGATTTTAGAATGCTAATATGGTTGTATTTAAATGAGATGACAGGATTTAGATGACGATGCACAGATCAAAGAGAAGAAGGCAAGAGTTAAAATAAACCCTAAGTTTGTCAATTTCCTCATTTTCTAACACACACGTACATAGAGAGAGAGAGAGAGACTTTTAATACCAAATTCTACAGTTTTTTGCACGATTTTCACCCACAATGAATAATTAAATATGTAATTTTATATTTTGTAGACTTTTCATACTAAAATCTCTCTAAAGCAACAAAAATATCTAACTAATAGAGGGGTATTAAAAAATACTAATTTGGTAATTTAGAGTTTTTACCTTTTTTAATTAATTAAAAAAAGGATATTTTTGTATGTATACTCACTACTATTACTCACCATACCCTCATGAATTATACTCATTTGTAATTTGCACTTAAAAAAATCTTAACCATCCATTACAAAATCAATAATTGTAATATTATAACGGTTTCTCCGCTATTTATTTTTTTTTTATTGCGAAGAGCATCTAAATCACTTAGTTACTGCTTGGTTTGGTAGAAAGGAAAGTAGTGTAAGTTGAGAGAGAAAACCAAAATCTCCTTTTGTAGGATGTTTTTAGAGGGGAAGGTGAAGTGGGGCAGAACACTGAAATGAGAGAAATTAAAAATATTTAAAGGTAAGGAGAGAGAGAAAATCCCTTTGATACGGTGGGACAAGGAGGGATTGAGAAGATTTGTTTTACAATTATTCTTTTATCCTCACAAATATTTCATAATTACCTAATTAACTTTTCTTATAAACTCTCTTANCCCCCCCCCCCCCCCACACACAAAAAAAAAGATGATAAAAAATATATAACTAGTGGCCTCTTGAGGAGAAACCAATACATATAGGTGAAAATATATGGTTTCTGGATTATTTCTATATCTTAGTCCATTTGGCTGAACTTAAATGTTTTTTTTTCTTTTCTCTTTGGTTTTGATAAATAATAATCAATTTAAATTTATTTTTTTCTCTTTTTCTTTTGAAAAATCATAAACAACCTTATTTTGATATATCATAGACAATCTTATTAATATGGTTGTAGAAATATTCTTGCAAAAGAGTATTATTGTACATTAGATTACTCATCATCTCACCTTCTCTTCTCATCCCCTCAGCCAAACAATACAAACTCTATGTACTTCCTTCACTCTCTCTCCAACCAAACAAAAAGCATAGAAGGTATATCATTCCTTCCACCTCATTGCAACTCACCTCACCTCACCTTCCCTTCTTATACCTTCTGCTAAGCCAAGCCTTAGGGATCATTTCGAGACCCTTAAGGTCGTTAAACAATGTATCGGTTCCAAACTTAATGAAAAGGATTGGCTATTGGTTTGATCTTCTATAAGTCTCTACCATGTACATATAACATTTGCTAATATGAAATATCTCACTAGTCTTTTTGTTCAGCTCAATCATTTTTATAGAATAAAATCGCACCTACTTTAATTGTAATCAATTAGAAAAACAAAGATTGGTTTATTCTTATTTACTCGATTTTTCCATATTGTCTATTGTTCCAAACTCTGACATAATATCCTTTTCATGACTAAGAAGTAACATTTAGGAGAAATAGATTTTGGACTTGAAATCATTGGACCAATTATAGGACAAGCGACGAGTACTTATTGTAGCCATTAATCTTGTTTTTTTTTGTTAACAAATCACTTTATTCAAATGATTTCAAAATATAGTACCATCCAAAAACATTCACTCTTGATCTCTGTTGATGTCAGTTATCAGACAAGGGGTTATTTGAAAATTTGTGGAGTGATTAGGGTCTTCTAGCTCCTTCTAATAAGTGATTCTGGGGCTCATTGTTCTTCCCTGCACAGGAAGAAACGCGTAAGAGGGCAAACTTAGGTTCTTCGATTGTTCCTCCAATGATTAAGTCAGTAAGTGATCTTGAGTGGGAAAGCATAGAGTTAGTTATTAGTTACGTTAAAAAGGCCGGAGAGCGTTACCTCAAGTAGTACCACTCCTTTTACAGTGGGTTTGAGGGGAAAGAAGATAACTTGGGCCGAGTCCAGCTAGACAGTTGAGTCGACAGACATGTGCCACGTGTTGATTGCTGAAGGAGGCGAGTCACCTAATTATTTATTGTAAGAATGACAACAGGTGCTTGGTGCTGACTAGGTCCGATGAGTCATAAAGACTATAGGGGTTAGAGTAAAGATGATGCAGTCAGGGCAGTTAATGTGAGAGTAGTCGACTGGCAAGAGGTTCGTTGCGGCCCTTCAACTTGTCAGATCCAGGGCCGAGAAGTACCGCCTTTTGGCCCGATTATATGAGATGTCGGCTGAATAGTGGGCCGAGCTGAGGCGGAGGTTATCTTTGGTCTTGAATTAGTCTAGTTAGGTATAATGTAAGACGCATGTCAACTTCACTATGAAGATTAATATTTGGTAATTTAAGTGTTATAACAATCTCTTTTCCTATCCTCCTCCAGAATTTTTTGCAAGAAATCTGGTGGATCTTCGAACCAGACTTAAACACTCTCAAGATTAATAGCCTTCGCGCTAAGATGTGTGTAGCATTATTTCCAGAATGAAGAACCACTCGAACACCCTAAAAATCCAATGAGTTACACAACCTTCACATGTCCTTGATCATATGAACAAAAACCTATAATATCACAGAATCCCCCGGAAAAGCTCCAATGACTCGCTCAGCTTCACCTTCAAATTCAACCCTTGTAAATTCTATATCGCATACAAATTGTGCTACTTTAACAATAGTGAAATTACCCCAGAGGAGAGTGAATATGGTAATCAAATAATAAATGTGCAAATTAAATGAAATTCAATGCAACACCAACGTCAAAAAAATAAATACGACAATAAATAAGAGAGAGTAAGAGAATAGTTATCCAAATTGCACGCTGATATGTTCACAAGGTTCGGTCCTCACGACCTACGTCCACGACCACCTCTCCCGATGGTAAATCCACTAAGCACACCCAGTTTAGAAGCCGAAACTTCTTCACAACGATCTCCCTACGAGATCTTACAATCCTCACAATGATCTCCTCGAGACTAATCTCACCACACAATCACAAGATGAATGAAAGAAAATCTCTCACAATAATCCTATAGCAAGGATCAAGAGATAGTCAAATGAAGCTCAGGGGTTTGTGGAATGTGAAAATTAGAAACCGAAAACTTGAAACACTTAAAACACTTGAGAATGATAATTGAAAGTTTGAGCTCAAGAACACTTAGAAACAAAACTTAGGGATTTTTCTTTGCTTGCTTAATTATAAAGTGAAGAGAGCAATTGGGTATATATAGGAACCTCAAATAATAGCCGAAATTCCAAACAAGTACCAAAATCCTGAAAATTCGGCTAAAACAAAAACTAGTCATTACAGTAGATCCGGTCGACCGACGGATCATGTCCGGTCGACCAACTATTTGACCGTTGTAGACTCAGCAATCTTGAACTGGTTCGGTTGACCGATAATGTTGTTCCAATAGACTGACCCTCAGTCATCGGTCGAACATTCAGTGTAAATCAGTCGACCGAATGTGACTATCTGCAGGATCATGGAAACTAGCTCTCTAGTCGGTCGATCAAAAACAGATACATCGAAATCTAATTATAATTGAAAATCTGACTTTGTAAATTCAAAATAAAATATCAAATAAATTCTAAAAATTAAAAAACTTTGGAAAATGTTTATAAACATGTTAGAAAGAAAAATTTTAAAAAATCATTTTCCAATTGTAAAAACTAATCATTTTTCAAAAATGGTCAAAAACATGTTTTTATAAGTGTGTGTATGTGTGAACCCCAATAGCTTCAAGTGTTATCTACTCAATGACTTGCCTACATTAACCCAATAGCTTCAAGTGTTATCTACTCAATGACTTGCCTACATTAAGCTCTAGAGAGAAAATAAAAATACAGATATCTCTCACATATGAATACAATGCTTGAGTCTTGATATTTGCTCATATGTTGATGAAGCTTCTCTTGTGTAAGTAGCTCTTGAAAGCTTGTCTTCGTCAACTTGCCTCCACCTCATTGGATATCATCGTTGTAGCTCATATTCTATCCAACCCTTCAATTATGGCATTATATTACTTGACAAAAATGTAATCTGCGCAATATCACTCAACAAGCAATTAGCACCA